CAGCTTCCTCCCACAGAGAGCTCTGCAGACACAAGGTTCTTCCTGACTCAGGGAAAAGGGAATGCACACAGCAACTCCTTTCTCAGGGAGGCCCAGAGCTGGGGACAGGGGTGGGTGGAGCCATCCTAAACCCGGGCACAGTCCCCAGGTTTGAACACTGTTGTGGGCATTTATTTTGTCTGGATACTGTCCCCACTTCTTTGAGGGAACTACTCACCGCCCCTATCAACCCCTGAACCACCACCCCCACCCCAACTACGTGGGTGCTGGTGGGAGCTGACAATCACAGCACAGCCCTCATCCTCGCCAGAGGCCTGGGCACGGACCCAGCTGGACCCATGGTAGTGCCTCACAGTGATTGGTCCAGGGGCGGGCATGTGATTCAAGCCAGCCAATCAGAATTCTCCCCAGGATATTTCTGAAGCTGCTTCATGAGTCCTTTAGCTAGAAGCATGTGTGCCTAGGTCTGCCAACAGAATGGCTCTCATTATGTAGGGAAACCCTTAGAAAGAGCCTAAATCTCACACTCGGAAGAGAACAGATGAGAGTCCTGACAGAGTTCAAGCCCCTAATTCCAGCCAGCCCCCGCAGCTGCCTCCACTCCTCACCCCTGGCCTCCTGCCATTCGGTTTGTGAGCCAGGCTTGTAACCGAAGAGCCTTGCCTAATACAAACCAGCGTGCTTGCTGCCTGGGTAGAGCTACCCCCACCCACATCTCTCACCCATTTGGAAGTGGCCGATTCAGTGTGTGGTTTGCCCAAGCCCCTGACTTCTCCTTTTTAGCTTCTTGCATCAGATGGGCAGGAAAAACCAGGGAGGCCACTCAGGGCCCTGGCAGATGCAGTGGGTAAGGAACGCACGAGGCCAGAATGGTGAGGGCTTAAGAATTTATTCAATCATCCGCACACCATGTGGCTGAGCCTGGATGGCTCCAGCCCCCACTGATGGGAGTCAGTGGCTTTTAAAGGACTTTTGGCGGCCTTTTTCTGGGTGGAGACTTCTTTGTGCAGACCTGGAGGGGAGATCATGGAATGTGGTCTCAGCAAAGGGAATGTCCTTAGTGAAGTGGCCTGAAAAGCCAATTCCTGGGGGGGGAGGGGGAGGATATCGATTCAATTATTTGGTCAGACTTAACAGTGGGTGGTCCCTGAGGGTGAGGCCCAGGGGGCCAGCACCTGCCCTTTCCCAGCTGTAAAGTGTATGTGGCTCCTCCTGGGCTCCCACTCCTTCCACTGTTTCGTTAGGACACACTCAGTATGGAGAATGCTCTTGCTTGTCTTGTAGGTGCCTACACACAGGGCGCTCCATGGGCAGTGACCTGTGCAGTCCCACAGGGTCCTGCACTCAGAAGGACCCCAGGTGGGTTGAATGCTCTGCTGTCACCCTCTTGAAATTCTTGATCCCTTTTGAACAAGGGGCTTTGCATTTTCATTTTGCGTAGGGCCCACGGGTTATGTAGCTGGATTTGGCTCTGTGCATTCTCTCAGGGTGGGATTTGTGATTCCAATTAATTGCTCCAGTTCCCAGAGTCGCCCTCCCCATCCCCCCTTCTTTACTAATACTAGCAACCTTTAATGGTGAGTTAGTTATCACAAAGTTCTTAAACTAACATATACTTAAGTGGGGGATTCAAAATAACTCCAGATCTGGTGGGAACTTTCAACTAAATGTTCCAAGTGAACCCCAAATGCCCCATTTAATTGTTGCTGCTAAAATGTCTATTCTGATTGTCGCACCATAGCTAGTAGCATCTTACCTATTGGCTGTGATTTTTAATTCTCTCTACACTACTGGTTTTTATGATCAATGAATTAACTAGATTTAAAATGTCATGTATGACTTTTTGTCCCAAGAAATACACAGGGTTGTTTCTTTGTGGGTTTGTTTGTGTGTTTTTTTCCTTCAGTGTAAAAAAACTTGAACATTGCAGTGAATAACAGAAAGGAACACTACCTTGGAGGGGAAAAAAGAGTTCACTTGCACTAGTTTGCTAGGACTTTACAGTGTAAAAATTGTTAGCCTCCCCCCCCCACCACCACCACCCCGTTATCCCCTTTTGAAGCCCTATAGACACACATACTATTTCCTGCAAATAGTGTAAGTATGCCTTTATAACCTCAGACATTGTACACCATTTAGCTGGAAATTAAGTTTTCAAATCGCTAAGGAATAGTCTCTGAATAACAGAAAACACTATAGGTCACAGTTAATTATAGCTTGTCTATCAAATCAAGTTAATGTTCGAGAACACATCCAAATAGTTACAGAGACATGAAGAGGAGTTTTATTGTTGAAGAAATTCTTATTCATTCGGCTTCTAATATTTGTAAAAGAAGAGAGATAAATAAGCCTTTTACAAGTTAGGATGGGATGAGAAAAACTCTGGTTGTACATCAAATCGTTCCCTTCATTGTCCTTTGATGACTGTTGATTTCATTATAAACTTCATTTTCCAGAGTTTCATAATAGTCATAAACACACTTCACCTTAAAAGAGTTTCTATGGGACATAATGTGAATGCAAATGCAGAATAAAATGCAAATCCTGGAGGCCTGGGACCAAAAATGGACTATCAGTTAAGAATACAGTCACTGAAAACAAACACTTAGGCCTTAAAGAGGAAGAACAGAAAGGGGCTGATATGAATCTTTATATCGAGTATTCATAGCCCCAGGGAGGGCAAACAAGAACAACAGTTTTCAGCTTTTCCCCTAATTGTAAAGCACAGGTTGGGAAAATGTGATGACTTTGGTCTCCATGCATTCCCATTTCAAAGTGAGTAATAGTTTTCATCTTCACAGGAAAATAAACCCGCGTATGCATAGTAGCCCACAAGGTACTCAAATGGGGAAATGAGACCTAGCCAAGTAGTTCAAGATCAGATCGCAGGCATAGGAGGTTTACCAAACAGGGAAAGAAGTCATCAGAAAAAGAAAGAGCTGTGGTTCTGCCTTGCTAAACATTAACCAACAACCAAGATATTTATAATGAGTGAATAATAGACATACTTCATTTTGTGTTGTGAAGAATAAGGAAAAGATCTACAGAAATGGGAATTCACCAGCAACAGCAATGAATTCCAAGTTAGCATATATGTCAGGGAATAATTCTAATATCACTCAAAATGTTATTTATTTACTAACTACTATTGTCCAAATCAATCAGAATAATGTATGTTTCAATTCATTGTAAAATTTAAGACTCTGCATTGTGTCCGAATGAAAAAAGTAGCAAGACTATAAAATGTTGCTTAAACTTATTAAACTCATAAAAAGTTGTGGTGATTTTTTAAAGTATTACTTAGCAAACTTATTAGTAGTAACAGTATTTCCTTTCTATGGAAAAAATATAACTTCATTTAAGTTTTAAAAATAACCATAACATTTCATATTCCAGGCTCTTTACCTCCTGATTATAAATCCTATTAATTGTAAATAGAGCCATGAAAAGTATTAAGGGAAGAATCAACTACAGAAGTATATTTTTGAGGATTAATGTAAAATTTATTTTCACAACTTATTTATTTACCCTCCATCCATTTATAGTAGTGCATATGTCATGGAAAAGCCATAGCATGCTTACTGCATATCTTAAAGAGAGTTAATGACTTAGTTCTGGTTATAATTTGTATTTAACTGTATATACTCATGATACCAATAAAAAACAGGTGTATAATTCAATAAATGTAGAAATAAGCTTATTTCACCAGAGAATAACTCTTTATGGTATATTTTAGGAATCCCAAACCAAGAAGTAAAGAAATATAAAATAATTTCAAGAGATTTGCACTGTGGTGTTTTCCTTTAACAAGAACATATTTCCTAGATTAAGAAATGCTTTTTGGAGAGAATGTTCTGAGAGAGTTTAATAAAGTGTTGCCAATTGCTTTAATTCTGCACACATGAATGCATTAAGCTGACTGAAATTGGATTCTAGTGACAAATATTTAAATGGATATATTCTTGTTTATTTCACAGGGTATCCTTTATACCATTTATTAAAATGTCAAATTTATAAGTGTGGGAAATCCAGCGATTGCCCAATACAGGTATGCTTCTTGGAGAGGCTGTTTAAGACTCCCAAAAGCTTTCCCAGATTTCTATAATCCTGAAATCACGGCATGTTAAATTAAGGATAGAGTGAAGAAGTCCCCTTATCTTTTACACAACATGCATATACTCATCAGCTTGAATATTTCCAAATCTGATTTTGTACATACAACCTTCCTTTACAAGTCTTAATAGTAAGATATCCAAACTTTTACTGGATCCCAAAAGTCAAATTTTGAAATTATTATTAAAATTCAAATGGGGAGACTGGATTTTACACTTTAGACCCTAACTTTTGAAACAGGTATTATATCCAGACATTTCCTGATGAGTAAGAACACCAAGCCCCACGTGGCTTACAACAGTCTTGTTTTACTTGGGATTTTGAAAACCTTTAAATCTAACATAAGCACAACTGTCAGATGCACTGTCGTGTGTCTTCTATTTTTATTTCTTTATTTGTAAAAGAATACTTTCCCATAATTTTGATGTAATTTTTAAATATTAATTTTTTGCACTCAGGAGAAATGGCAAAAATTTTTGTCTCGTAACGTAAATTCAAGTACTACTTGCATACAAATATGACAAATATCATAATCCAAAAAAGGCCACATAAAATGCTACAGTTGCAATCATTTAAGACTGTGTAACAAAAATGACTGAGAATGGTATCAGTTTACTATCCTTCAACTGTCTCCCTGACAGTGGAGTCAAATAATGTTGAATTATAGACCTTCTTACAGGAAGTCTTACTTCATGCCCATTTTTGATCATCTCCCTGCTAGTCCCTATAGGAATTGGGCTGAATGCCAACTTTAAAAGTTTCTGTATACATACTTGGGTTGTGTTTGATGGTTAAATGATCATTTATTAAAACTTTAGCATCCCACATTTGCTTGACATATTTACATTTCAGAAGAAAATCTTGCTATTGCATTGGAAATCATAACATCATGGATATGAAAATACTTCATTTGAATTCAGGCCGCCATGATCGTCCCGGACCCTCGGTCGCTCCTCCTCGGTGCCCGCACCCCGCCAGGTGCGCGTTTGGGCGCGAAGCTCGTCGGCCACCGCCAGCTGCGTGTGGTGCGGCCTCTCCGGGTGGTAGAACTTGCACTTGATGCCGTAGGTGCACTTCTTGCCTGGAAGGGGCAGGGGGGAGAGAGGGCGCGGGGTGAGACCTCGGGCGGGCGGGAGAGGCTGTGTGCCGAGTGCGGTGGGCAGTGCCTGCCCCGGGGCTTTCTCCTGGGATGTTGTTAACGGAAAGCGCCCAGGATGCAGTTAGCTGGATGGGGCAGGACGAGGTGGGGTGGAGTGGCCCGGGGCGCAGGAGGGATGCGCAGGGTGCAGCACCCACCTCCCTGGGGTAGAGGCGCTGGGCACAATAACCCCGGTGTCAGCCAGGAGGGTGTCAGCCAGGAGGGTGTCCGCCTGGGAGCCCCCTTTGGCCAGGGAGTGGGACCAAATCTCTCCACTCATGGACCTCAGTCTCCATTTTCCCAGGAACCCTGTGGACAGGGGGTCTTGGGAGTGGGTGGACAGTGGGTACTTGTGGCATAGGATGCACCTCCAGGGCTGCCTCAGTTTCCTCCTCTTGCCCACATTCCTGTGTTAACCATTGCCCTCTCCCTACATGGTGTCCTAACAGGTGATCAAATAATTTAAATTTTATCATCAGAACCTGGGCACCTTTGAGAGTGAAAGGGAGCAGAATGCATCAACCTGCCTGTGTGTCACCTTCATTCTAACATGAAATGACTCTCCCTGTCACCTAAGGCTTTTTGAACTTCCATGGGCGCGCAAACCAAGGCCTGGGGACATGGGATAACTTTCCAAGCAAGTTAGTGGACGCTGCCTAGGAGACTGGCGCCCTGGAGGGCTCCGGATAAAATCCCTAACTCTTTTTTTAAATCTTATTGTTTAATTTTTTTTATTGATTTTTAGAGAGAGGAGGGGAGAAGGAGAAGGGAGAGATATAGAATCACCCATGAGAGAGGAACATCAATTGGCTGCCTCCTGCACACGCTGTACTGGGGATCAAGCCGCATGTGCCCTGACGGGGACTTGAACCAGTGACCTCATGGTGCGTGAGTTGAAGCTCAACCACTGAGCCAGAATCCCTACCTCTTAACGACAGCATTGACTAACGGCCATAAGTGCCCAGGGGTGGGGGATGGAGGGCAGGATAGGAGACAGCCTGCCAGGTGCCAGGTGAAGGGACTGATAAAGGGGAGCCTGGGGGACACAAAGCCTCCCTGCTTCCGGGACCAGCTCTGTCCTAGGTGTGACCCCGGCATCCACCCCCCAAAATACTCCCATGCAACAGGCAGCCCAGGTGTCAGTTCATCCCTACAATAACCCGTCAGGACACTGCCATCGAGACGCAAGGCCCGGCACTGGGCCCGGGCGGCGCGGGGTGTCACCCACCGTATGGGCAGTGCTGCCAGGAGGGCTCCGGGGGCTTTGGCTTCCTGCTCAGGAAGTTGCTCAGGGTGGGTCCCCGGCGGCCCAGGGGGTCGTCAGGAGGCATGAACCTGGAAAGCAAGCACAGAGGGGCCACTGCAAGACCAACAGGGACTCAGCCATGCCACCTGCATGGCGAGCGCCCAGCAGGAGGGTGGCAGCCCCTGGCATGGCCTGGGCCAGGTTCACCAGCCAGCACTCTTCCCGCACCCACAGGTGGCACAGGGTGTGGAAGCAGCACAGCCCGTTCTCGCCCTGCGCGCGTGCAGAGCACAGTTCGGATCCCTGGAGAGCAGCCCCTGGGCCGCCTCCAAGAGTCTCTCCTGCGGAGGTTCATGCCAGCGGGACCAGAACCACCTCGCAACTCCTTTCCAAGCTCGGGAACCTGCATTTTAACAAGGCCCCGGGTGATTTTTATCCACTCAAATTGAAGCACAATTGCCCCGGGTGATTTTTATCCACTCAAATTGAAGCACAATTGCTCTTGACCCCCTCCAACCCTACTCTGAAAGCGGCTCTGAGCTGCCTTCCCCTGCCCTCAACAGAGAAAGTTAGAGACCTCCGTGGGGCTCCAAACAGCCCTGGTCCTCTGAGTACAAACAGCCCTGGTCCTCTGAGTCCTTGAGGCTCAGATCCCATTTCTGCAGCGAGTTTGGAACACCCGTAGGCGAGTCAGCAAAGCTGCGGATCCCAGGTGCGGCCTGCACACTCCGCCTCCGTACAGATCCAACCCTCCGCTGCCAAGCCAGGCTTCTGGGTGGGTTTGGTCTCAGTTCCCGGGACTGCCTGACCCAGGCCATGTTCTCTGCCCCACCCTGCCCCGCACCTGCCCCTTCCCCTCCCCCTGGCATTAAGTCTAACAAGGAAGGGAACGCAACCTCAGGGTGCTAACAGCTCAAAGGGGAAAACAACATTCCTGAGAAGGAAACTCCCCTGGTTTAGCGCCACCCAGTGTTTTATATGAAAACTTCTGTTCCCAGGAAACACTTCCAAGTCACAGAAAGGCTCCGCTGGAGGGGCTGTGGGTTCTGAACAGAGGGCCTGTATTTACACGTTTGTGTCCCCTAAGAGTCAAGGGTCATGCTGAGGTCCCATCCTGCAGACCACGTCCACCAGGCCGGCCCGGAGCTGGGCGATCCCTGGGCAGCCTCCGCAGCTCAGATCCCAGCTACACAGCCGGCTTCTCAGAGCTGGGCCCTGACCAAGAATCCAGGGAGCGGCCCACTGCGGTTATTAAAAGTTCCCAAAGGCTTCACCTCCTGCTCTCTCCCGGCCTCGCAGCTGCTAGCTGGGCCAAGAGGGCCCTACGGACGTGCCCAGGGCACTGGGGTGGGCATCCTCGCCCACAGGCAGCGGGCAGGCCCTGCCTCTGGCAGCCAGGCAGCCTTCTGGCAGACCCTCAGCAGAGGCCCGTGTGTCAAAAAAAACTTGGCCTGGGCCCCGGGCTGTCACCAGGCCAGAGGCAGCCATGATCCGTCAGACCTCAGGGAGGATTTTCTGGAACCCACAGTGCCCAGACTTGCCAGATTCCTCCAGGCCTGGGCCGGAGAGAGGAGCCGCTGGCCTTGCGTATGTGGAAGTGACCAGGGGGGCTACTGCAGGGAGCTGCTGCCAGCATCTGCCCTGGGGCTCGGGAGGGTCCTCCACCTCTGTGCCAGGCGGTAGTGGGGGCAACAGCGTCCCCTGGTGGCACTGTGTCCTGGCCTGTCCTGAGAATAGCAGGGTACAATTCTCTCCCATCCTCACAACCATCTCAGATATAAATCTGATTAATCCAAGTACATTAATTCAAGGTAAAGAACGTTCAGCTGAATGAAACTGAGTGATTTCCCCAGGACACACGCTCTGTAAATCGCACAGTTTCAGTTTAAAACCTCACCTCCTGGGACCCTTCAGTCCGCAGGCCAATTCCGGTCAAGGGCACATGTCTGGGTTGCAGGTTCAATCCCCGCACTGGGGATGTGCAGGAGGCAGCCAATCAATGCTTCTCTCCCATCATTCATGTGTCCATCTCTCTCTCCCTTTCCCTTCCTCTCTGAAATCAATAAAAATATATTTAAAATATATACCTCCTGCCTCCCAAAGTCCCAGACCTTCCCACCACACCACACTACCTCCCCGGCTTCAGGGTCAGGGACTGCTCTGCCATGTGCAAGTGGCCCGGCCAGCTGACATATTGCCTCCTCTCTCCCCATTCTCCCTTCCAGACTGCAGCCACTCCCTCACTCCTCTACAGCAAGCTACTGAGCGCCTATGGCGGGAGCCAAGGCACGTAAGATGCAGCGCCGGCCTTCACAGAGCTGGGGGCTTGTCTCAAACCACATTCCTAAAAGCCAGCTGGAGAGCCCAGAATGAGGCCTGAGCTGTCATTGCCTGGACAGAAACTGAAGGGGGAGTGAAGTCCCGGCCCGCGGTGCCCTCCCCACACTGCCTTGCCCTATGCTAGTCTCAGACCCACACCCACATTGCCAGGCGCCTCCCTCGCCTGTGCCCTCGGCATGCCTGAGCACATTGGCTGAGGACCAGCCACCGCTTCCTCCCCAGCTAAGCTCGGTCTAGGGGCCCTCGCTAACCAGCACCTGCTCATGGGTTGGTGCCTTGTGACCCTCGTGTAGCTGGTTAGTCTAAGATGGACCTGACCCAGAGGAACCGACCCGGGGGATAGATGAACCAAGCAGATTCTCTGGAAAATTTCAACCAAGAGGCATTGAGACAGAGTCAGTTCCAAGATGGTGGAAGATGCTGCCCACTCCCCCATGTGATTCAAAAGAACAACAACGAAAAGGTGAAAACAGTGAAAGGAAGTAGAACAAAGTCCAGATCCCCCCTCCCCCATGACCATTTTAGTGCTCTTATTAAAAGTGTTACATTCTTTAAGAGAAAAACACAACTGTATGGTGCTCCAAGCCCATTCTTGGCCCACCTGCTGAATGGCTCTCTGCCGGGTCCACTAGATGTGGACATGGGAACAGAAAGGTCATGGACAAGGTCATGGACAGCAGGGGCAAAACAGCCCTGTTGGAGAAAGTGGGTCACAGAAGAGAGGAGTCCCAGAGGCACAGAGAGACCGTGCCACTGTGGGAGCAGAGAGGGTGCCTCAGATCGGCTGTCTCCAGGCCTGGTGTCCTTGCTTATGGCCTGGTGTCCTGGGACCTCAAACCCCACGGGGCCTAGGCCAGTGGGAGTGGTTTTCTTCCCGTCACCCCAACCCATCCATGCCAGGCCCCCTCGGCCACCACGTACCGGTCGTTGACAAAGGAGAACATGAGCAGCCTCTGCTCAATGAACCACTTCCACTCGGGGTTCTCGCTCTGCAGGTCGCGGTAGTTGTCATTGGAGACGATGACGCCGTCCCGCTCGTAGGCCACCTTCACGATGTAGCGGTCGTCGTAGCAGACCACACGCTTGCCATTCACCTTGCGAGACGGGGTGTACACGAGCACCGCCTGGCGCTCCAGCTCCTCCAGCACATGCTGCTCTGGGGGCCACAGGGACGGGGGACGGCATGAGGCGGCTTTCTCAGAACGACTCCCTCCCCCCTAAGATCATCCTGAGATCACGGAGCACATTTGACAACTCAGGGGTCCCCTCTGAGCCAACTCCCGCCTCCCCCGCCCTCTGGCCCAGCACATCAGAAGATCGGGGAGGTCTGGAGCAGAATAAGGCAGCTGCCCAGGTCAAGGGGCTCTTGGCTTCTGTCTGCCTGAGTCATGAGGAGTCCAGAGTACGGTACCCAACAGAAGAGAGTCACTTTAGACACAAGAGGCCTTTACGGGAGAAAGACATTCACATTACAACTGGAATCCTGGCAATGCCTTCGGAGCTACTAGGATCCTGGCATCCCCCTCAAAGGCTGCTGCCTGGGCCCCTAGCGGAGAGCCACTGTGCAGACACAGGAACCTGCTGGGACACCGTCAGGATGGAGCATCGTGTAAGTGACAGCTCTGAGGGCCACGAGAATGTCAAGGGGAGAGTCCAGGATTCAGAATCTACAGCCTGGGCTCTGGCCTGAGCTCCAGCGCTTGGGCACCTCTCCCCTCTTTGAACCTCAGTGTTAGCCTTTATAAAACGAAGATAATAGCTCCTCCTGCCTCCGCGTGAGTAGCCTGGATAAGCTCAGCATATAGAGTACAAAGAATCATTTCTTTAAATGCCGAGTATGAGGCACTCCCTGAGAAAGAGAACACGGCCCGTGCTTTTGAGGTCCCCTTTGCCCCTCCCTGTTGGCATCTCTCTCTGTCCCCCTTAAGATAACCCAATCTTGCCCTGACCGGTTTTGCTCAGTGGATAGAGCGTCGGCCTGCGGACTCAAGGGTCCCAGGTTCGATTCCAGTCAAGGGCATGTACCTTGGTTGCGGGCACATCCCCGGTAGGGGGTGTGCAGGAGGCAGCTGATCGATGTTTCTCTCTCATCGATGTTTCTGGCTCTCTATCCCTCTCCCTTCATCTCTGTAAAAAAAAATCAATAAAATATATTTAAAAAAAAAAGATAACCCAATCTTTAGAACTTTGTGTTTAGAATTCCCTTGCTTTCACTTTTCAAAAATGCATATACTAGTATATGTATCCCCCAAAAGGACTATTTTCCATGTGATTATGAACCTCTAGACTTTACACCAGTGGATTCAACTGTACATATTCTTGTGCAACGTGCTGTCTTCGTTTAACATTGTGTTGGTGAGGTTTGGCCATGGTGACATGGTCACTGCTGTCAGCTTCGCAGGTGAGTCTCTGGGTGCAGAAATGCAAGGGTTTCTCTAGAGTGAATCTCCAGGAGTGATATGGTTGAGTTGCAGGAAAAAGTGCTTTACAAAATAGTGCCAAGTTACTAATTATTTTGTAAAAATAAAATAAAATTATATAGAAAAAAAGTGCCAAATTGTTTTCCAAAGTGGGTATATCAAGTCACTACCCAACAACCCAGCAGAGCGCTAAGGCAACCTGTCAACACTAGGCATTTTCAGGCTTTTGAATTTTTGTCAATTTGGTGGGCATAAAGTGGCTTCTTGTGGTGGCTTTATTTTACATTTCTCTAGTTACTAATGAGATCGAGCATCTTTTCATATGTTTATTGGCCATTTATGTTTTCTGTGAAAGACCTATTATGCATTTTGCTTCATCTTTCTATTGGTTCTTTGTCTTATTAATTTGGAGACATTCTCTATAGATTCTGGACAGTAGTCCTTTATCAGGAACAGTGATGTAGAGCCTCTCCCAGTTTGAGGCTGCTCTTTTCATTTTATTGTTCTGTGGTATCCACTAATGAACACAGACTCTTATTTTAATGTAGTCAAATTTATGAGCCTTTCTCCCACACATTTGCCCGTGTATGGCTTGTTTAAAAATTCCTTCCCTACCCCAAAATGATTTCCCTACGCTTTACCCAGCCTCGATTTAAATATTACACAACTGCTGAAAGCCACCATTCTCCACGTTCAGACCATAAAGAATAACATGGGGTAGCCAGTTCATGATGGAGAGCTGCACACAAGTGGTTATGCCCCTGTGTCTCATAATCCCATTGAAATGTCAGCAAAGAAGTACAACAGGGGAGGGGATCCCCAATCACATTAAAAATGTTCTTGGGGACACCAGCAAACCCAGGATTTGGACAGATTTTAGGAAGACAGAAAGCAGACTGGATCACACTGATGTAAAATGTGCAGAGGGAGCCACAGGCCAGGATATGCACAGAAGGCTGAGTGCAGGTGGAGCTCCAGGCATGTGGAGAGGGAGGGAAGTCAGGATGGCTAACAAAGGGCTACTCATGGGGCAGCTGCATCCACCCTTTCCCTATGCCAAGCAAAAGGAAAATGAAGCCCAGCTAGGAAGAGGAAGTTCCCATGTGGCCTTTGACCTCCTAGAGCAGTGGTTCTCAACCTTGGCTGCACATTAGAATCACCTGGGAATCTTTTTAAAATCCTGATTTCTGGGCCTCATCCTCCGGAAATTCTGTTTCTTTGTTACTAATGCTGTGGCCTCACCCCATAACAAAGAAACAGAATATCCGGAGGATGAGGCCCAGAAATCAGGATTTTAAAAAGGTTCCCAGGTGATTCTAATGTGCAGCCAAGGTGAGAACCACTGGCCTAGAGTAAGACCATCATCATTGTGGCCCAGCTGCCTGCCTGCTCTGCAGGGTATGCTGGGTGAAATCTGCCCATCACCACCTGAGGTCAGCCCAGCCCGTCAGGGAAAGATCCACATACTAAGAGAGAAAGCCTGTAGCAATCACATAAATATTTATATAGATAGATCATTATTTAACCAATCTGGTTTTTTATTCACAAACTAGAGGCCCAGTGCATGAAATTCATACACTGGGGGTGGGGGGGAGGTTCCTCAGCCAGGGCTCTCGCAGTCCGGGACCCCTCGGGGGATGTCCACCTGCTGGGGATCAGGCCTAAGCCGGCAGGCGGACATCTCTCTCGCAGTCCGGGATCACTGCCTGCTCACTGCTCCTTACCACTCAGCTCGCTGCTCCTTAGTGCTGCTGCAGAGGCGAGAGAGGCTCCCGCCACCGCTGCTGCACTCACCAGTTGTGAGCCTGACTTCTTGCTGAGTGGCGCTCCCCCTGTGGGAGTGCACTGACCACCAGGGGGCAGCTCTGGTGTTGAGTGTCTGCCCCCTGCTGGTCAGTGGGCATCATAGTGATTGGTTGTTCTGGTCGTCCCATTGTAACAATCGCTTAGGTTTTTATTATATAGATAAAAACTGACAACCAAAGGATCACCAGACTTTTGAAAAGACCTAACACATGAGAGAGAGAGAGAGAGAGAGAGAGAGAGAGAGAGAGAGAGAAGAGAGAGAGAGAGAGAGAGAGGAGAACAAAGAGAGCTGACCACAGGAAAAAATGAATATGATTTATGGAACTGAAGAAAATTTGTGACAGTCTATAGAAATAGTAAAGAATTATTACAGAAATAGTAAAAGAGATACTGCATCCCTAAGACAAGAATAGCACTTTATTTAAAAATTAAGGAGAGAATCCTTAATTAAGAGAAGTAGAAGCAATTGGTAATCGATAGAATTAAAAACAAAAGCTTTTGGGAAAAAGTCTGGAAGACAAAGTCAAAGAAATCTCCCAGAATCACCAGGAGGTCAGCCCTACCATCAACTTGGCTGAATCAAGGCCAATAGCTTAGCATTTGACTTCTTGTTATAAGAAAGCCAAACAAAAACAAAGCCCTGTTTTTGTAGCTTAAAATAAACCTATATAAGAATTAAAAATGAAGAATTCCCTGAGTCCCAGTGTCATTTATTTTTAAGTCAGAACATATGTTGTTGTGTTTTTGTGGTGTGTGTGTGTGTGTTTATGAAGAGACTGGACTAGGGACTCAATAAATAAATATCACCAGACTGAATGCAAGTCTCTCTCAGATCCTACATTCTATGAGGGGTGGGACGCAGATCCAACCTTTCTGCAGAGTGTTAAAAGTTGTAAAGCACAATTATTTTGGGCCCTTAATCATTCACACTAAAAGATGAAGTAATTTGTTCATTCGTCTCTCCAACAACTGCATAGTGAGCACCTACTCAGTGCCAGGTGTCAGGGCCATGGCAGCGAGCACTCAGTCAGTGCCTGCATGGAGCTCAGGAAGGCTTCATCAGACAAAGAGCTCCGTAGATCACTGCCTGCAAACAATAGCAGCAGGACTCCTGAGGACAGTGCAGAGGACCTGTGAGCACGCCTCGGCGCCAGCATACCTCTGATGGGGGTGTCGGCTCTCGGGGGGTCCTTCCTCCAGGATGGGACAAAAACTTTGATGTAGGTGTGTCCTCTTTCCCTGAACCAGTCCACAGCCAGCTGGATTCCCCGGCAAGAGAAGACTTCTTTATTTCCATGGCTACAATGGGAAAACAAAGAATCTGTAGAGACACAGAAAGGGTTTCTAAAGAGTGATTTCCCGCAGTCTCATAATCAGAGGGAATCAGACAAATCTACATTTTAAAAATATAGTTCATTCTTTGCACAAAATATGACTCTTCACTGGAACCACGTAGCTTCTGATAGTTTGTAGGTCTCAGGCTCCAAGACGTGTGCATTCCCAGGATTAATAGACCAGATTCTCCTATTCACTGAAGCTAATAAAGATCAACATAACCTTGATGGGAGTAGTCATCTGCAGAATACTCTCACCCTAAGAGTGGGCTGTAACTATGTTATTGGGCTTCCCAGGTCTAAGCAAGGAGGCCAATGTTCCCCATAAATTCCACCAAAGACATCAATGGTGGCAGGAAAAACAGGGTGGTGTGAGAAGAGGCTCAAGAACAGGCCGAGCCTTGCAAGCTTTATTAAAGATTTTTCTTGCTCCTAAGAGGAATGAGAAGTCATAAAAGGGTTTAAGACTTGGGGTATATGTGATGTGATATGATGTGATCTGATGTATGTGGAAGTTCAATCTGGCAGCACAGAGGACACTAAATTGGAAGGGAGCAAGAATGGGTGTTGGGTACCAGTTAAGAAGCTATTGTAGTCATCAAGGCAAAATGGATGGTGACTTTGACCGAGCAGATATTGATGCATAAAGAAGAGTAGGTGAACTTGAGAGCTGTTTAAAAGGTAAAATTTCCAAAACATGGTGATCGGATAGAGGATGATAGAGAGAAGAAAGCATTGAGGACGCTTCAGATCTCTGGCTTGTATGATTGGCTTTTTGCAGAGACAGGGAACTCTGGAGGAATACAGAGCTTAGAGGGAAAGATCACGAGTTTAGTTGTGGACACATACTAAGTTGGAGGAGCCTTTGTGACCTCACAGTGAAATATTACGTAAGTAGCTAGGGTTCGGAAGAGAGGTCTGGGGGGTGAAATGTGCGGGTCATCTGTATTTAAGCAGCAGAGGAGCCACCGCATGGAGAGAATTGCCTGATTGCCTGGGGAGAGAGAGAGGCCTAGAGCTGGAGCTGGAGGAAGTCTGGAACTCAACAGCTGGTTACAGGCAGAGGAGGACAGTCCTACAGAAGATAGAAAGGATGTGAACCAGAAGACAGCCGCATGGTCACGGGGAGGAGGCGGCCGAATGCTGCTGCGAGGGACCAATGAGGCCGAAAACAACCCTCAGGCTTAGTCGATGGAGGTCAGCAGGGTTTTGCTGGAGAGGAGATACGTGGACAGATTTGAGATACTGGGAATGCAAACCGATTAGACTTAGTTGTGATGGGACACGCCTGGCTTCGAGGTGAGATCACTCTGTGCTCCCTGCTTCCGGCTCAGCCACTGCATCTCCTTCAGCCATTGTCCTGCCCATGCACCTTCCTCCCCTCCCACCACAGAGCCGCTCGCCAGCCATTCCTCTCCTCTCGGCCAGTCCCCTCCTCCCTCAGGTCTCAGCTTTATCTCTGCTTCCTCAGGAAAGCATCCCCTGGCCTCTGAACTCTGTCAGATCCTGAGTATGAGGCCTCACAGCATCAGACATCTCCTTCCTGGCCTTGGGTTCCAGCCTAAGTCTGCATACACCCTTCCATTGGTAAGATGAGGGATGAACCGGGTCTTCCCTTCTCTAAATCCTACGGTCCCCATTGAATTCCCAGCGCCTAGCACAGTGCCTGATAATTGGTAAGGACTTAATAAAACGAGTTGAATAAGTAAATGACTGGGAAGAACGGTCTTTTGAGGAGCTGGAGGAGGAGCAACCAGGCAGAGGGAAGGGTTGGCTGGAAAGACCCGGATACAGGGAAGACGTGGCATGTTTGGGGCCCAAAAAGGGAGAGTGTGACTGGAGCATGTGGAGTGAGCAAAGGGGAGAGTCGTAGAAGACAGAAGGCAGGGCTAGGTTCCTGGGGAGCCAGGGGTCACCATGACACGCACACCTCCCCTGAGAGGCCAGGCCTGAGAAGTGCCCCGGGTCCAGACGAGGGTGACACGATGGTGCTTTCTCTGGTCCCAGGCCTCTCCTGCTATCTTCTTGGAGCGGAGGAGGATAGGTTCAGGTTTGTAAAGAGGAAACGGGCGTGCTTGGAAACATGAATCACCAGTATTGGAAGTCGCCCTTTGTGGAGGCTCAGAACTCTCAGTTCCTTTAGCTCCAGTGACGACCAGGAACCAGGCCTGGCGCCCCGATCTGTGGTGTCTTCCAGGTTAGAGAAAATAGCCCTTCGGCCACTGCAGCCAAGCTGTGAGGCTTATGCAAACCGTCCGGAGAAAATATCAGTGAAGCTGTCTGGTTAAAACAATCAATAAGAAGCGGAAGTGGAAAGCTAGCCCCTTCCTCCCAGTGGAAGTTGAGAAAAGAAAGGAGATGGAGGGAGAATGAGGAGGAGTTCACAGAGGAGTCTGAGCTGACCCCCAGCCCCCCCAGACCCCCAAGCTTGTCTCCGAGGAACAGAAGACCCTCATTCAGGTCTATTGCTTTGCAGGACTGACTCCCACACCCCCGCTCCAACCCCCCCTCATAAGCCTTGGTCTCTTCTGAGCTGTGAAGATGGCCTGTGTTCCCATCCTGGCCACATTTGTTTACCAACCTCAAAATGCCACCATGGCTGCCCTATTTCTGGCCACAGAGAGCTCTGGGCAATCGCAGGATTGATGCCATAGCAGGAGCCAGCTCCTCACATGGGGATCTGTCTCTAAGAGGAGCCAGCAGAGGCCCCAGTCAAGCAAGGAAGCTCATGGTCACCCCGGGAGCCCACTTCCCACCTACAGAGAACAGCACCCAACCAAAGGCACCCTCCGCTGTGCTTCGTCCACCCACTCATCATCAGTGCATGAGCATCGGCTTCAGTGAGGCTCTGTGCTGGGGCTCGAGAGTGGGGGCGAGGCAGGCCTCACCCTGCTTCTTGGAGCTCACTTTTAATATTCGTGGAGAGCCCTGTGTGCCAGGCCACACTGCACGGGAACTGCATCTAATTGTGACAACGAGCCCTTGAGGAAGTGACCTTCGTCCCTTTTACCCTTGAGGAAACAAGCAGAACAGTGTGCCCGCTCGCTGATCTGGCGGATCTCAGAGCCTCCTTTGCTGGGCTGCAAACGCTTCCTCCCCGTCTCCATTTATTCCATTTATCCCTGGCCCTCCCCGGCCCTGAGATCCAGACCGCAGCTCCTGTGGAGCCCGAGTTACTCGCTGCGAACATCTTGCACTGGGGAGGGGGCTTGGTGCTTCTGACTGGACGCTGTGGGCCAGTTTCTCAGGCACCACGCTGACAGCCAGGCCCCGAGAAGAGGAAACAGGAGGGGCAGGTTTTGAATAGAGGGAGGGTGGGAAGGGGAAATGGGCTGGTGCCTGAGACAAATTTTGCCTACATGACAGCCGTGCATGAGGCAGCCACAGTTAGCATGCAGCCAGGAACAGGGACAGGACGATCTAACTGGGACACCGAAGTCTCTGCAGAAGTGAGCGGCTCACAGCACAGGCCTTGCGGTGTAACATGGGAAGGGCACCACTGTTGGACTGTTCGGTATTTGGGGTTAAGTTGTAAACACTCTGAACCTGGAGTTACAACCCTTCTCACCCAGGGATCACCCCGGCTCAGGTCTGAAGGAAGAGGGAGAGGCAGGGGGCTGCTTGGAGCACCCCCATCTTACCAATGGGAGGAGGGTGCATGCAGACTTAGGTCGGAACCGCAGGCCAGGGTTGGTCAGAGGGAATTGCCCCCGGTGGTGGGAGCCCACTGACAGGGGCCTGACCGAGACCTGGGCCCTGTCGCTGAAGATGCCTTCCTCCAGAAGAAGCCAGATTCTGCTGAGGTGTCTAACAGCTTAAACACATCAACAGCAGCACCTCAAACCAAAAGCCCTGCACCCCCAAATGAGGGCACAGTCAAATGAAACCCTTGCCTGGGGCAGTAAGAGGATGTGAAATTATCAGGTGGATTTCCCCCAAGCTCAAGTCCTTCAAATCACGCCTCTGCTAAATTTGCCTACAGAGCGAGCATGCCGCCTGTGGCGGTTGTCACGTGAGTTCCTCCCAATCACCACGGGCAGCTTTCCATCTGCTTTCAATGAAAGCGGCCTCCTTTTTAAAACCTGCCGGGCATTTTTCTAAAGGCCAGGTATATAGTGACTCAGGCATTCAACTCACATCGCCCTCTCTCACATACATACACACACACACACATGCACATATACACCCCCTGGAGGTGTGGGGATTGGACTTGTCAGTCTGCAACAGAGCCACAAGCCATGCACCTCGGCGCCCTGAGCCCTCTGAAGGTTGGCGGCAGCAGCAGAAGCGTCCCGGGCACCAGTCCTGCAGGAGGCACCTGGGCCCCTGGGGAGGGCTTAGCACATCCTGTCTGCAGTGGACAAGTCCAAGTCCGAGCTCACCTGGGCAGGCCCTGGCCCAGGATAAAAACCTTGGGGTCAGGGTCTCCCACCCTGAGACCCTTTCCAAGACTGGACATGGGGAAAGGCAGAGGTACCTGGTGCTGGAGGAAACATAGGGCTTTGGCAAGAGCACGGAATCCAGAGCCCAGCACGGCGTGCTCTGTGACCTTGGGCAAGTTACTTCTCTGAACCTCTGCCAAAGAAGAAAACTTCCTTTATTTATAAAAAAGCATTCATTTCTTTCAAGCCATGCATAAAAGAATCACCCTGAATCTTAGAATGTTAGCGATGAAAAACCAGTTAAGATTATCATTTAGTCTAACCTCTTAATTGTATGAAAAGGACTCAAAAGAGGTGATTCCCACCAAGGTCACGTAGCTGGGAAGATGAAAGGCTGGAGCTGCGCAGTAGGCACTCACCACATGAGGCTATTTGCACTTCAGTTCAAACTAATGCAAAAAATTAAAATTCAGCTACTTGGTCACAGCAGCCACATTTCAGGTGCCAGGTAGCCACAAACGACAAGTGGCGACCCAGTGGACAGCACAGGTACAGAGTTTTCCACCATCACAGGGACCTCCTGGTTTTCTACATGAAATACAAAACGATGGGCAAGCATGAGGTCTGGCTTCTCAGGTTCCGCCTCATGCACTCCTGACATGGCAACTTAGAACTCTCGTTGAAGTTGACCTATCACTTCCGAAATGTGAATGAGGCCATCAGTCCTGCTTGTAAGAGCCAGTGGACTCCCTTTGCTGTTACAATGAGGAGATGAAAGGTGGTGTGGATCTATTTAAATGACTTGAGGGCAGTCTGTGTTTTGTAAAACAGGCCAGGCTCTCATGTGCTTTGAGCAAATACATTCCCACTTTTTCAAAAAGGACTTGAGGCGGGGGGGGGGGAGGGGGAGCACTTGGGGCCAGGCAGCATGGCTCAGTGGTTGAGCATTGACCTATGGACTAGGAGGTCATGGTTTGATTCCTAGTCAGGGCACATGCCCGGGTTGCAGGCTTGATCCCAGTAGGGGGTATGCAGGAGGCATCTACACTAATAAAAAAGTGCAAATTGGTGTCACTCTGCCACGCTCACCAGCCCATCAGGATGACTATGCAAATTAACCCAACAAAGATGGCGGTTAATTTGCATACGCAGGCACGGAGCAAAGACTGGCGGCTCCAGCTGGAGTGAAGACTGAAGACTGAAGACTGAAGAGGCTTGGCTTCTCCACTGTGGCCAGACCAAAGGCCTGGGTCCCGGGTACCAGAGGAAAACCGGTGCCAGCAGCCAGGGGAAGGAAGGCCTATTGCATGAATCTTTGTGCAGCGGGCTTCTAGTCCGATCAAAAATTCTCTCTTATCATTGATGTTTCTATCTTTCTCTCTCTCTTCCTTTTTCTCTGAAATATATTTATATATCCATAATAATAAAAGGGTAATATGCTAATTAGACCAGACGTCTTCCAGATATCATTCCGGATGTCCTTGCTGACCAAGCCGGGGCCAGAGGGAAGCCAGCCCAGGTCCCAGGTGCATGCGGGCGGCCGGAGAAGGGAAGCCAGGGTCCCCGGTGCCGGAGGAAAGCCGGTGCCGGCAGCCAGGGGAAGGAAGGCCTACTCTTGCACGAATTTTCATGCATTGGGCCTCTAGTATATTTATAAAACCTACAGCTTTAAAAAAATAAATAAATAAATAAATAAATAAATAATATGTTTTAAAATGCAGATTTCTATTTAGGTAACTAAAACACACACACACACACACACACACACACACACAGAATGACAAGGTCTGCAATACTATAAAACCTCAGCAAAGGAGAATTTTGAGAAACCATGTTTCTGAGGTTAACTGAGTTTTGAGGTCAAAAGATAATAACGACACCGCGTGGGGTTTTAGCCATCCGTTCCCTCTGAAGGGCGAGCCCCGGGCTGGGATCTGTCCTGAGGATCTGCCAGGGCCTGGGGCCTAGTCCTGCTGAAAGTCTGGTTGGAGGACACACTCGGCGTTATTGTAGGAGAGGGAACTGCACCTCAGACCCCACTCTCCCCCAGACTGGCCTTAGACCAGGTCAGTCCCACCTGTCGGGTGGTGAATGTGCATTGTTTCCTAGCTAGTGGGCTGCAGGGAGTCGGGGATGTGTGTGCATGCGTATACCTGTGTGTGTGCATACACGTATGTACACACGCTGAGAACACACACAGATGCATGTGTTCCGGTTCACTGGGGTGATTTTCAGGCAGCACGTGTCTGACACATTTTAATTGATAGCCGGAGAGGTAGTTTGCATTTGTAACTCGCAGACTGAGCTTGAAGGGATTAAACTGCCACAATGGGAGGGCCGAGGGTGGGACTAAATGGATGCAGCCAGGACACATCATGGTCATGTGCAAACAGAGGATGGGGTTCCAATTTGAATTCCAGGCAGTAACAGAGACTTTCATCAAAAGAAAGCCCTCCACCACCCCCCTATCAGAACAATTCCTAAAACACGTCCGTCCCCAGAGAGATGCCTGCACTTGCCTGCGGCACCTGAAGTACTCTGTGTCCCACAGCCGTTCTGCTCCTTTGATCTGGACTCTCAGAGCTCACAAAACCTTCCGCCTGGAGAGGTCTGCGATGTAAGTGACATCATCTTGTATTTCTATTGATGCCCAGAGGGAGCGGGGCCTGATCAGAAGGAGGCCAGGGTCCCCTCTTATTACCCCTTAGACTCTTTCTAGGACCCTCAGAACCTACTGGATTCCTAAAAATCCCATAACTCCCCCAGAGATCTTCAGGATTTCACAGGCTCGCTGGGAGCCTGCAGGAGAATGTAACCGACCCCGAGGACCAGCCCCTGAGCCCTGGAGAAAGGGCTCCGTTACCCTCTCTGACCTAAACGAGCCTCGGAAGCCCCCTCCGGCTACAGCTTGACTCACACACACCAGGCAGGACACGAAGGAGCAGCCCTGAGGCCTGACCATCTTGGGTTGAGCCATTCCAACCTTGGGTCCTGCAGTTCCAAATGCCAAGGGAGGCCAAGTCCCCACTCGGCCTGTCAGCCAAAGGGTGAGGCTGCCACCTCCAGTGCTGCTGATAACACAGTTCTTCTCCATTCCCTCCCGCAGCTCAGCTTTGGAAAAGGGAAGCCTGTCTATTTGCAGCTGTGAGGGACTGATTTCCTATGGCTCTGCCCTTTGCCCCGCTGTCACCAAGCCAAGCCGTAGGATAATGCACTTGTGTGGGCAAGGCCTCCTCCTCGCCCAGCCCAGCGGGGAGTGTGGGGGAGGCTGCAGAGATTCTCTCACAGCTGAACTTGGCCTCACCAGGAAAAACAACAAGGCGGGGCCTGTCGCTCTCATCACCGAAACACGGGAAGGTGCCAATACCCAGACATTAACTACCATGTCTGCAGCCTGGGGCCATGAGCTCACCTCTCACACGGAGCTAAGGAACCACACCTCACCCCATAGCCCCAGCAGAGGGCTTCCAACGAAGTTCAAGTTCATCTTCCCATGTGATTCCCACACCCTCGAGGGAAGCAGAAGAGGAAACGAGAAACACGGCTTTCCCAGAATCACACAACTGGTACGGGACAGACTCCCGACAAGAAGCCGCTCGTCCCCAATCACCCACAGCCTTCCTCACGAGAGGGCTCTCTCAGGGTTAATGTGACAAGAGCAGCCAACTGTTGAACCCTTGCTGCGTGCCAGGTACTGTCCTCGGCATCTCGTGCAGCTCCCTTCTAGGGTGGTTTCATACCAACATTACAGGTGGACAAAGCGAGGCTCAGAGAGGGTAAGTGACTTACTTAAGGCCACACAGCTACTAAGCGATGGAAAAGGATTCAAAGCCCCATCCATGGGCCCTACATTGTTTGGACCAAACCACTGAAGAGAGGGACAGTTCTCCCACCCCACCCCGTCCCCCCGGCTACAGAATGAGGAAAGCTACCTCATGGCCACGTTGCTGCCGTCGATCACGATAGGTCTCAGGGAGCTGGCTGGGTCTCCGCACTCCTCCTCGGGATCGGCCCCCAGCCCGCGCTGGATGGAGTCCGGGGTCCCACAGGAGCCCTGGGGACCAGCAGGGGTGCAGCACTGCTCTGGTGGGCCCCGGGGCGGCTGCCGGTCTGGATCAGCTCCTGCAGCACGTCGTTGACCAGGGCGTCCTGGCCCAGCTTGGCCAGCACCCGGACCACATCCTCCCGGTCGTAGCCTAGCTTCTGGAAAAACTCCATCTTGCTGGAGTGCTCCATGCTGTGCCAGCCAGGCCCCTGGCAAGGGTCTTGCCCCCGGCTTTCTCCTGGCAGAGCCCCACCGGCATGAGCTAAAGAGAAAAAGCATCCATCAGGCGTTTTCTGGGCAGCCTGGCTGGCTGTCAGGTTACTGAGGGCAAATGAACTACGCTCCCTCTGCGCCTTATCTGTCAGGAAATCGTGTTGAGGACGCCTGGCCCCCTCGGGGATTTTCAGTTGCTCGGTGTGGTTAGGGAGCCACAGATGCAATCACGTTGCTCACACAGCGCCCTGGCAAGGATCCCCAGCCAGAGGCACCCAGGGCCGCTGAGAAGGCCCCAGGACTGGGGACATTGGCACCCAGGCCGAAGAAATGCTTCTGCGGCTTGGTCATGGGGTGAACTGGGTCCATGCCAGTTCATATTTTGAAGCTCTAGCCCCAATACCTGAAATGTGACTAAATTTGGAGGTGGGCCCTAGCTGGTTTGGCTCAGTGGATAGAGCGTTGGCCTGCGGACTGAAGGGTCCCGGGTTCAATTCCGGTCAAGGGCACGTACCTCGGTTGCAGGCTCCCGGTCCTGATCAGGGACATGTGGGAGGCAACCAATCAATGTGTCTCTCTCACATCAATGTTTCTCTCTGTCTCTCCCTCTCCCTTTCATTCTCTCTAAAAGTCAATGAAAAAAAATATCCTTGGGTGAAGATTAAAAAAAATAATTGGAGATGGGGGTCTTTAAAGAGGTAATTAAGTTAAAAAGAGGTCCTTGATCCAATGTGACTGGTGTCCTTGTAAGAAGCGGAGATTCGGACACAGATGGCTACAGAAGGAAGACTGTGGGAAGACACAAAGAGAAGGCAGCCATCTACAAGCTACAGAGGGAGGTCTCAGGAGAACCAACCCTGCCCACACCTTGATCTCAGACTTCCAGCCCCCAGCACTGACACAATCATAATAATAAATAAAATATTACATAATAGCATATATTATTATATAAAATATTATTACAATATATAACACATAACATTACATATATATAATCCAGAGCACCCAATCTGTGGTATTTTGTTATCGCCGTCCTGGTAAAGTAATACAGCTCCTCAGCTTAAACAAGGAAAAATCCCCCTGGCAAATTCTATGCCCAGCAAGTGCACCCAAATTCAACTCTATGCAGAGCCAACAATGACAGGGTCTGGCAGGTGAAGGGCACTTTTCAGCCAGACTCCTGGACAGAGAGGCCTCTGCTGTGCCCAGCTGTCACCATCATCCCCCTGCCTGTGCCCATATCACCCCCTGATTATAAATACCCTCTGACCTCGTGTTGACTACAAGAAAGGCACTGGGTTCTTGAGCAGGCTGCTGGGCTGTCACCTGTCGACCTCACCACCCACCCCTGGCCCACCAGCTCTTTCTCTGGAGCCATGCTGAATCCCTTCCGACTCCCCAAGTTTTCCAGAACATTCACATCACCGTGCATGCTTTCCTCTCCACCTGGAGTGCTCTTTGGTTTGGCAAACTGCAAGATGCAGCTCAAATGCACTCCAAGCGGTCACCCTTAACTCCACAGACAGAATGAGAGGCTGATCTACCAGGCACTTTGCTCACACCTGTCATGACACACTGAATTCTTATCTATTTCTCAGGAATCTGCGAACTGCACTCTGATCTATTTGTCTCAGAATCACCAATACCTGGCATAGGGCCTACTCTACCTGAGTTTAATAGATTTTCCTTTAATAAATGTCCAAAGCTGAAATTATCTTCTCTCCTCACGTTTTTTTTTTTTTTCTTGGTTCTGAATCTCACTGAATGGCTTCTCCCAGAGGCCCAAAGAAGAATCTCAGTCACTTTTGACTCTTCCCTTTCTCTCACATCTACATTCAAATGTCATCACTTCTACTTCCCGGACATTTTCCATGACCATCCTCTCTTCTACACTCACAGCACCACCACTCTAGTGCGTTCATTCACTCATTCATTCATCTATTCATTCATTTGTGTAACATACACTGATCACCTACTGTGCTGCAACCCAGTTCTATGAAAACAAAATAAAACACAGTCTAATTTCCATTCATTCAGAACCTATTCGGGAAAACAGACAACAAATATAAATAATAAGCCATAAATCATGATGATAAACACAATAGTTTTGATTAGAAAAATGTGTTTTCAAAACACAGGTGAGGAACGACTCATCTTCCTTTGAGGGAAAGGAGAGACCAGAAGGGCCCTCATGGACCCGGAGAACAAAGGAAGGAAGAGCGGGCCTTTTCCAGTCAGAGCTGGGCCATGTCGTCTCTCCCAGGGGCTCCTCTCCAACCTGTCACCCACAGCTCCAATCAAGCGAGTGCACTGACTAAAGACTTCCTATATCTTCTCCAACACGCCCTTGGGCCTCCGTCCTGTACAGAGCAACGTCAAAACTCTACAGCATGAGCCTAAAGGCCCTCCCCCACTGGGCCAGGCCCACCTTCCAATGTCCTTGGTCACGTACTTCTAGTCCAGCCTCTCCTTCTACTCTTAACCAGTGACCAGTCCCCTCTCAGGACGGCTTTTTCCTTGGGTTGGGGTCCAGTCTCCATGGAGGAGGAGGGCACTCACCCAGCCTGGCAGCCCAGCCTCACACCAGGAGTTGCTCACTGTCTCCCGGGCCAGCAGACCTTCTCTCCAGCTCTTCCCTCTGCCGGGAGCACCCGCCCCTCCACCAGGCCCAACCCCTCCACATCCTCCAAGGAGCCTTACCAGTCCCAATAGCTCCAGCTCTAGTCCCACTCCTGCCCTTCCTGCTAACACGTGCACTGTAGCACTTACTTTGGTTTGGAAGAAAGAGAGAAATGGAAGAGGAGGAGGAGAGAAAGATTAGCAGGACGGGACTAAAGTCAGAGAGAAGAGAAGAAAGACAGAAACAAGCAGCACGAACAGAAAAGTCCTTTGCACATAGTTCCTCATTGTTTCCACATCGCTTTCACGTAGAGACGCTTGCTCGAACTTTCCATGATCTCTGCTGGGTAGGCGGGTAGATGAAAGTACTCTCTTTGCATAGGTGAAGAAACAGGCTCAGAGGGGCACCGAGCAAAGGCACAAAGCTCGTAAATGGCAGAGACTGACCACAGGTAGATGCCAAAAAACGCGCTGCTTTGAGCTGTGTTCAGGATGGAGGCAACACCTAGTTATTGCAGAGGGGGCAACCCAACGGTGACAGGTCAGGTGACCTCCCTGGCCACAGAGTAATAGCTACGGGGAGAGTCCGCGTGAGTTTTGTAACCTTGCATTCTGCAATGACAGAAACATGAACACTTTCAAGAGAAAACACCTCGGGGCTCTCACCCGGGGTGGGAGTGAGTGGCCAGGCGAGGCCCTGCCCCCAGCAGCTCTCTGCAGAGCGCTCAGGTCCCCACACAGCCGCTCTCTGAAGAGGCTTAACTGACACATTTGCCCACTTCAGAGGCTTTTGCCCCCCCTTGAGACTTTAAAATCAATTTCATTTCCTTTGAAAATTTCTAAATAAGGGAGAAACCTGGGCTGGGGGCTGTTCTCGGGCCCTCGGGTCACATCTCTCCCTTCCGAGGGGACGGTCTTTGAGCTGCAGCACGGCCGGCTTCTTTTCCTTCCTATTTTTAAGACCTGAAACTGTGAACGAGTTCACTTGAGCTTTCTTCCTCAATCTTGACCGGAAGTCACAAACAGCACCGCTGGTTAGTAACACTGCGAACCTTCCAGTCTCCTCAGGGGCTCCTACGAGGGTCAGCACCGGGACACTCTCCTGTGGGGAGCAGTGCGGGTGACTGTTGCTCAGGTAGAAGCCCAAGTCGGAGGTGACCTAACTAAACAGCGTGGAAGGAAGCGGGGGAGTGACCTCACAGGTGAGAAATGGGAGTCAGATCAGACCTGGCCCTTCTAGAATCAACCAATCCATCCCCGTGGTCTGGAAGGGCCCCTGAGGACAGGAATAAAGGGGAAAGAGGAGGAGGAAATGAGAGGGGAAGACCTGTAGTGAGCCGGTAGCTCACCTGCGCACAGTGTTTTATAGTTAGAAGGCGCTTCCTTGTGTATTATCTTTGGAAAGGCTAACATCCCTGGGAGGTAGAAAGGGCTGCTCATGTTGCAGGTGAGAAAACCGAGGAGGAGAGAGGTTTTGCTGACTTACCCAGGATCCCACAGCTAATTGGGAGAGAGAGACCAGACTCCCAAGAGCAGTGATTCCCACCATCTCCCAGGTCAGAGGGTGCTCCCCAGGGCTGCTCAGGGCCTCAGAGCAGAGTGAGCCCACACATGGGCCCCAGAGTGAGCACATCCAACACACTGCCTCAGACCCCAGGTCCATCCCGGTCACCTCTGCCAGCTCCACTGTGATGGGGAGAAAGTTTTTCTAAATGGAGTCCAGGCGGAAGTTGCCCCGTTCGGCTCAGCTCTAGAGCTCTCACTGGAGTCAGTTAGATTTGGGGGAAGTTACGGAGAGGCAAGACTTCAGCCCAGGCCTGGCCTTTTTTTTTTTTTTTTAAGGGAGTTACAATTTTTTTAATTGTGGTAAAATATACATAAAATTTATCATCTTAACTATTTTTAAGAGTGCAGTGCAGTAGCATTAAGCAAGCATCACTACCATCCATCTCCAGAACTTTTTCGCTTTCCCCAGGGGAAACTATACCAATTAAACACTAACTCCCTCTCCCCTTTCCCTCATCCCTGGCAACCACACTTCTACTTTCAGTCTCTCATGGAATCACAGCATTTGTCCTTCTGTGATGGCTTATTTCACTTAGCACAATGTCCTCAAGGTTCACCTTTGTTGTTACATGTGACAGAATGTCCTTCCATTTTAAGGTTGGATAGTATGTTATTGTGTGTATGTACTGCATTCTGTTTGGCCTTTCATCGGATAGTGGACACTAGGGTTGCTGCCACCTTTCGGCTGCTGTGAATTGCTGCTATGAGTGTGGGTAGACTGGCCTGGCCCTTGGTTATCTCCTTGAGCTTGTCGCTTGCTACAGGCTACTTTGGGTGTACATGTGAGTATGTACACCCTGATCCGTAGCCCAGGGCAACTCTGAAGCAACGTTTCAAAAAAACAAAGCCCTCTACTATCCTCCACTCCCAGCCTCTGCACAGGTCAGGTGTTGGCACTCCCGAGCTGGCCTCCCTGGGCCTTGGAGAAGAGTTTATAGTCTTGGGGGCATGGCTGAGGCTTCTAATGGGAGCAGAGAATTGGCCAAAATTGTCTTCACTGCCGTCAGATTAAACTGCATTTCAGCATCCTCATAGGCCTCTGGAAGCCCACAGAGCCACCCTCTAGAGGAGATGGTGTTTGAGCTGCTCTGCTGCCTTCTGTCCCTGGTCGGCCAGGAAACTGACACCCACACATCAATCTCTAATCTAGAAGATGCCTCCAAGAGCGAGGCACAGGTTTAAAATGTTCTAGATCATTCCTTCTGATTTCATAAAATTAAAATCCTTCCAGAGACTACAGCAGTTTTTACTGAAACCAAGCAGCTTCCTCTGATTAATCTTTCTCCCACAAAAACCATCCTGAAATTAAAGACAACTTTGCTGAAATAAATAAGGATTTCACCTCAAGAAAATTTAAAATGCTTACCTTTCTTTCCCCCCATCTGAGCACTTACAAGGATTTACGGTGTGAGAAAATAGATTCCTCCTCCAAGAACTGCTCTCCAACCTGCACCCCTCCGACCCCTTACGCTCGGTCTCTCCCCACACAAGGCTGCGCGGTGTCTGACTGCCTGACAGCCAGGGACGTGCACTCACCAGCAGAGCCTGTCGCTGCGGCCTTCGCAGTGGACTCCAGGGGCCTCCGTCCCTCTGGGCTGCCCAGCTGCTGCGCTGCCCTCTCCTCCCCGCGACCCAGGTGTCACTGACGCCACGTGGCTGTGGGGAGACTTCTTATGCCCGAGCACCACTTCCTGGATGCCACGGTCCCGCTCAGCTGCAAAGGTACTTTTGCTTTGGGTTTAAAAAAAAAACAAGGAAAGGAAGAAAGCAATCAAATGAGGGAGGCATTCAAGCCTGAGCCTCAGCATGAGTCACGAATCAAAGTTTAACAACCACATGCAAAACGAGCTCTGGGTGAGGGCCCTGGCACAGGAAAGCCAGGAGGGACTGGGGGGGCAGAGGCGCTAATGGGTTGGGGGGGAACTTCCGCTCCGAGTTCCCATCCAGGCTGCAGCTGAGCCCACAGGCTCCCGAGGCCGGTCAGGGCTCACAGCTTCATGCAGAAAGCTACACACACAGGGCGAGGGGAGACCGGACATGGCTGTGCAGACAGGGTGCACGGGGGCCATGGGCCTGGGGAAGGACCCTGTCCCTTCCGTCACAGAGTCCCAAGGAAGTCCCCACGTCCTGTGGGCTGGGGGACCAGGCTACTTGCCTCTGTCGGGGATATGACCCTGGGCTCAGGTCCCTCAGCCCTGCAAGGGGTGGGAGGCTGCTTCTCTGTCACTGAGACTCTGGAGCCTGACCCCAGACCCACCTGACCCCAGACCCACCTGACCCCAGACCCACCTGACCCCAGACCCACCTGTTCCTAGACCCACCTTGACCCCATACCCACCTGACCCCTGAGA